TCAACTCAATGTGAACTTTTTATTGGTGATGGAAAAAATACACGGTTTTTGGAGTGACCTACTCCTTTAATATGAACAGAGGTTCTCTTCATACAAGAAGTTTCAGGCGTATACACCTCTCTGTTTCAAGCTACAGATTGACTAAAAATGGCTTTGGGGCCCCAAAAGTTTCCGGGGCTTTCGAGAAACGGGCCCCTGGCTCTTCGAGCTAAAGGTAATTATCGAAAGGCAACCGGGGAATCTTTGTTTTACAATATTTGCGTCATTCCTTGATACCGTTTTACTAAAACCTCGGTGACAGAGGAGAGTGCCTATTCCAAGGAGAATTGCTGGTTTACACTGCCACGACGTGTGCACGACGCTACCTTTTGGGTGGAAAATCTCCCCTTATATCTACCACAGTATTGGCTTAGCGGCGACAGGATTCCTGAGATCCCAGGGTATTCATTGCTCCTTATATATCGACGATGGGTTATATGGGGAGATATTTACTGCGACTGGTCCATGGTCTAAGCTGCCTCAGGAGCACCTGAGAGCCTTTAGACTTGAAGCAGCAAAGGCTGCTCTGTATGTCGTCCTGTCTGTCCCAATAGAACTGGGCTACACAATTGGTATAAAGAAGTCTGTGCTAGCCCCTACGACTTCTTTGGAATACCTGAGCCTTAGTGTGGATTCCGAGAAACAGTCCTTCCTGATACCGCCGCGTAAGAGGGAGTCGTTTGCCCTTTTAAGGGAGCTCATTCTCTCGAGCAAGCACGCCATACCATTGAAAACGCTGGAGCGTTTTCAAGGTAAGTGCACTTGGTTTTTTGTTGGCCGTGCATGCAGCAACACTTTTTATCAGAGAAATCAGTAAGGCTCGACCTCATCGTGCAAGAAAGATACAGTGACCCTAAATTATGTCCAAAGGGAAGAAGTTTCTTATTGGAGGTTTCTCGACAACTGGGATAAATCCATCCCTTGGAGGGAAGAAAAACATCATACCGTCTCCCTTAAGCTTTCTGCCGATACTTCTGCAACTCCAGGGTGGATGCTTTTGTTGATAGCCAAGTGATGATTGGGGCGTGAGAGTCTCGAGGAGCAACGTCCTCACTCGAGTTGGTCAGAGTCACTAAGAAACTCTTCATGGAAGTCTCTGAGCGGAATATTCACCTTAGCCTGCATTTTGTTGAGTCCTATGTAAACGAGGCCGATGCCCCCTCCCAGAGGTTGTCTCGCAGTGACGCAAGGCTATCTCGGGAATCGTTTGTGAGTGTGGAGAGTGTGTTTGGTGGTGAATTAGGCCATTCCTTCGACCTCATGGCGCTGGATTCTAATGCTATGAGTGGCAAGGGGGGGATGCCATTACCTCATGTTTCTCCTCACCCAAGTCCTCAGTCGAGGGTGTGAACGTGCTCGCTCAGGATCTACATATTGCTCCAGATATGACGAATCCGTATGTCTTCCC